AGGTACGGGATAGTTCTAGAAACGTGGCGTCACACTAGTCATGTGACTCGCTGACGCAACAGTATATTACAAAATAAAATACTTAAGTTTGATTATTCTTAAATTTGTATAAAACAATAAACGATTAATCTTCAATTCTGATGTCACATTAAAAAAACAAGGCTTGAGCTACATGACACTTCCGTTTTTGATTTGTTTATTCACAGCACAGAACTCGTCTTATAATTAAATATGAATGCTTGTATGCTCAGAATGAAGCTTTTTGTCTTGTGGACGTTTAACTAACATCTCCTTTGAACATGCCTTAATTTTAAAAATAATTAAGATGAAGCATTGCTTGTGGCTACAGAAATGTTTGAAGAAGAGATTAGTGTGAAAGAAAAACGTAGAAATTACGACAGTGAGGTTAAAATACCTAACAAAACACCATTAAAATGTGTTGAAACTTTGTTTTTAATCCCTCACAATTATATTACTTTGGAACCTGGTATTCAAAGAAAATTGGGCTGAAGCATTTAATACGAGAGGATGCCAGCCTAAGAGGTTTTGTTTTGTTTAGAAACATATTTCAAATGGTCAAATAAATACTGATATAAAAACGTAGGCAAGTTCAAACTAATACGATATTTGTTAAACTGCTGTTTTATTTTTAAAAATAGCATTAAAAATAATTTATTTTTATTCAAGACTACTTCTTGTTTTTGTCGTCAATAAATAACTCTTTGTATATTTGCACTATTTTCTATTTCATTTATAAAAAGAAGTTAACTAGGAGTTAGTCAAACCATTGATATGCATAACAAAATATCACTACCTCTAAACAGATGAACATCAAAACATGAATTCCATTCTGGGTAATGAAGCTTCTTCCGTTGCACCAGCTGCACACCAGGTTTTCCTTTTGAAAATAAACATTATTGTTATTGGTTTCTTTAGCCATCTCGTTATTTTCTTTGATGACGTACTTTTGAGGTTTACCATTTTATTTCAGTTGTCTACTCTCTCTCATTTAAAAATATTTTTATCTAAAAAAAGCAGCTTCTAATTACAGAGAAACTTTTATATAATCAACCCCATCCTGTAGTGATTTCAAAATCAAATTATATTTAGAATGAAAACTTCTTAATTTTAGATATTTTCGCAGTTCATTACACAATAAAAAGTGTGTTAAACACACATAAGTCTTAAAATGAATTTACACAAAAAACAATAACACCATTGGATCTTCATTATTAAAATACTGTGTGAAGAATGTTGTCGGGTTTTGTATGTATGTGTGGGCCGAATTCTGTACAGTAGGTGTCTGTGACTTGTTGGCGATAAATTTCAACAATAAACAATTAGCACACAATCCACTTGTTTTAAAATAATATATTAAAGCAAGTCAAACGTATATACAAATGTTCGTTACACTGTTGGTTATCACAGCTGAATCCAGAGCTTTAAATAATTGTCTCTTTTCGTCAAAGTCCACACAGACTGATTCAGTTACTTTAAAACAGAATTGACAAGAATTATTATTATTCTCTGATTTGTTATTACAATACAATCTGTAATACTACGCTCTTTATGATTATACTCACAATCATTCACACTAGGTCTATCTATCTATCTCTAACTGACTTTGTTTAACTACTTGAACTACATTCTGTACGCATATTTATAGCCTGACCGAGGCCTTAAACTTTCTACACACTATTATATGTCATGATACAACAATAATCAATTGAAAAAACGAGTAACATTTAGAAGGTTCAAGTAACATGAAGTCAATTCACAATAATTGAACTACACATCGAATGATTCGTAAACAGTTACGTAAACAAATGTGGCATAACTATCGCTTCTAAAAATAATTTAACTTTAATACCCGCGCTACATAAATTATTTAAATCATAATGCTATCAATAAACTTACAATGAAACAGGCATGTACAGTATATCTAACAAATGTTAAAGAAGTCATGAACTTATTCTCACTTACAGCTACCTGTATATATATATAAAGGAAAGTAACAACAACATTGAAAAGGATTCTAACAAAAGACATTGTATAGAGAAAACAAGAGCTCTCTTACTTAAAAGGTCAGTGTTTAAAGACAATAATCAGAGAATGCGCTTGAACTATCCACACAGAGATGGCAGGACGCTCGTATTAAAGCACCACAGAAGCCATCTGGATCTTCTTCTCTACAGGTCATCAGAAGCTAGACTAGATATGGCGTAGTCGCTCTGTTTCCAGTGTAAACGCCGCTTTTCAGCTATCCAGAGAGTCTCAAAGTCGAAAAACGGCGAACAGCCAAAACCGAAATTTCTTATTTTCGTTCATTATCATCCATAGTTCTAGCGGTAACTATAATTTTATCAACATTTGATAGAGCAAAACAGTCTTCACGATCTTTGACTACCTATTTTTTTTTCAATGCAAAACTTATAAAGTTTTAGAATACACTCTATGACCTTGTAACACACGTATGCCATCTTAAAAAAATAACCAAACAAGTATTAGGGAAAAGATTAATCGCTAAATGAAAAAGATATATAGGGCTGGCTACTGAACTTGAATAAAGGAACCAAACAAGATTGGGATAGAAGTGGACATATCACTTGATCCAGATAAAGATCGCATAGCAGACTAAACCGTCTCGACTTTACATGGAGAATAAAATTCCTACATTACTGGTTTCCTCACTGGCAAATAAATAAAACAAGAATTCCCAATCGCAAAATGATACTCTATTGCAAAATAGTCATAAAAGTAGTATTTTAAAGTTAACTAAAAGAAAGGTATAATGATGCAAGCTGAGATTCTATTCAAAACCAAACTTTCGATAGACAAAGTGTGAAAGCCAGTAATGTTCAGTAGCCAGCCTTACATAGCTTTTTTATTTGTCTATAATTATTTTTTCTAATACTTGTATTATTTAATGTGACAGGGATTCAGAAACGTCATTTCGTACTGATTCCAATCAGCCTACACACTTCTTTGTTAATACCGTAATTTTTCAACAATGCTTATCAAAACTAGCTTTGCAGTAATCTAAACCATGAGACATAATTTGATATCAACAAAAATAAGTTTACAGTTTAAACCCTTAAAGCTGGCGAAGCATTATAAACTAATAGGTCTAAAATATGTGGTAAAAATCACGTAAGCTACAGATGTTTTTATTGGTTTCCAATACTTTGCCAGCTCTCGGCGTTTAAACTGTAACTTTTAAAGTATTATACTACACATATAAGTACACATATAAGTAGCGTTACATAGAATATCTTGTCTCATATCGTCCAGTCCAACTGACGAGTTCTGATATTGGAAGAAGGGACTCTTGGGCAGTGATTTCTGGGAGAAGAAGATAGATGTAAAACGCTATTTTTACACACTTCTGATTTTGAATTCGAAATAGACAAATTAAGAGAAATGTGAAGAAAATAAAAACTTATTCAGTTTACGTGATTTTTATGTCAAAGAGAAATGTTAAAATGATGCGTCAGGCACAAAAAAAAAAGACATTTTAACTCTGAACAAAGTGAAAGCCCGCACCATAAAATACAAATATTTACCAAGGTCGATTACCTCATACACGTTTAGATTCACTTTGTTAATCAAGAGGCACGGAAACAAGTTCAATATATGAACCGTTTTTAAGAGAGCATATATATTAGAAAAGCATTCGTTTACTAAATAAACTTTACTACTAGTGCTTTGTTCTGTTAGCCTTTAATCTTATTTTGTAGTAGGTCTAATTAACGCGTGTTAAAAGTCTTTCTGGTCGAAATTTAGCAAAAACCTATAAAAGCCTCGTGATCTAGATGTAAGTAAAGACATTCAAACTCCCCCCCCCCCATGTTCTATCTTAGACCCCCTCTGAATAAACTCTCATATCTAAACTACAGTTTCGGTTATTTTTAAGATTCCCGCAGTTATTTTCAATCAACAGAGAAACAGATCCCTACGGAGGCAGGGCATTATAAGCAGTACGTGTGAATGACGTTGGCGATCAAATCTCAGAAGCCTGTAGAGGAAGAATGATGCCAATAGTCACAAAGAAACACATCAAAATGATAAATCCGACAGAATGAATGTACCGCTGCTACGTGTAAATCTTATATGTCTTTAAATAAAAATACACATACTTTAATAAAGATTTGTTTCTTGTTTCCTACGAACGACTAACATTCATTATGAATAATTGAATTAAACTCACAACTTTAAAGCGCAGGAGAAACATAAAGACTAGGAATCAGTTTTACTAGTAATCTTGTTTGACACTGAACAAACACATAGGATATAAGTAAACTTTTTTGTCAAAGGATCAATAGTACTAGTAATATTGTTTGATGCTCTGTCATATCCATAACACATTTGAGTAAACTTCCTTTGTCAAATACGTCTAATATTGCCTGATGATGTTCCATGCACATAAGATCTCAGTAAAACTCCCTTGCCAAATGATCAGTTGTACGCCTAATATTACTTGATGTTGTGCAAACACATGAGTTACCATTAAACCCTCTTTGTCAAAGTATCAGTAGTAGTAGAAATATTTTTGATGTTCTGCCGTACCGACAACATATGGGTAAACATTTTATGTCGAAAGATCAGTACTACATTTAAAATTGTTTATTGCTGTAAGAGTTAAACAAACCTTTTTTGTCAAGGATTAATAGTACTAATATTGTTTGATGCTGTTCCATACACATAAAATATCAATAAAATTATCTTGTCAAAAGATCAGTAGGGGCGTACCCAGGAATTTTCATGAAAGATGGCGAATGATGAGGCCGCATTCTTTCCACCATTTTAATGCAAAATATACATTTTCACATATATTATCGTTTTATTCTTAAACTAATATAAGTTGACTAAGCTATGTTCCTTTGGTGAATTTTATACGCTTGTAGTGTTTATATTAATAGTAGGCACTTACACAATTCCATGTATAAATTTAAAAACTTATTAGCTAAGTTCCAGACATTCACAAATGAAATTAAAAAATTGGTAAATAAATGCGATTTATATTAAACATTCGCACTACGCTACTAAAACAAATTTCAAGATTATTGATAAAATTATATAAATTACTATAACTATTAAATAAGATGTTATAATGTAGAAAACAATTATCGATAACGTCAACATATGAGAACACAAGTACTTGAGGGTATATTTATAATAGTGCGTATCTATTTACAGGATATAGTTTGGAAAAGACGTCTAGGCTTTTTATGAGCACATTTTCAATAAAGGCTGATATGCCAATGTGTATGCCATGGTGAATGCTTATTAGACCGAGTCCAGTAAATTGCACTTGGTTCACTGTGGAGCGTAAGTGTATGTAAGTAACCCTCGTATGTTCGGGTAAACATCTCCATCAACATAATCCAATGTTGTTGTGAAAATGTCAGGTTTTTCAAACAAATTTACCCATTGCCGTTTACATCTAGAGTGTCGGGGAAGAAGTGAGATCACCTCACATGGATCAACATTTCCATTTGGAGGGTCGGTGGAGAAGGAAGGTCGCTTGTCCATGGAGCAACATCTCCATCTGGAGGGTCGGTGGAGAAGGAAGGTCGTCTGCTCATGGAGTAAAATCTCCATTTGGGGTGTAGGTGGAAAAGGTTGGTTGCCTATCCATGGAACAACATCATCATCTGAAGTGTCGGTGGAGAAGGAAGGTCGCCTGTTCATGGAGCAACATCGGCGCAAATGGCTTTAGTGTCGAGTTTGACAATATTAATTAGGCAAATGCTGAATACTTTTGGCAAGGGCAGTCATGAAATCCAGATTTCTTTTTCATGCTAAAATGATCCAACAATGGAATTGCAATACTGTATTTAAAATATTCTTCTGCATTTGAAGCATGAATATTTGTTCGATACATTTGTCGTTTTTCAG